TAACTAAGACCAAGCCCTGCTGTCTTAGAAAAGCTATCAATGGCTTAAGGATTTTAGTGAAGATATAAGGAACTGTGTTTAAACCGAATGGTAGACAAGTAAATTCAAACAATCTATCATTGAATTTGAATCGCAGGAGTTTCCTATAATTCTCATCAACAGGAATGAGATAGTAGGCGTCTTTCAAATCTACAGAGCAGAGGAAACAATCATGAAACATCAATTCTCTAGCCATCCGGATGTTCCCTAATTTGAAATGTTCTGTTGAAATGAATTTATTAAGAGGCTTGAGATTTAGAATCAGTCTATTAGACCTGTCAGGTTTAGGAAGCAGACAAATGCTAGAAATGAACTGGAACATATCTTGTTTACATTTAACGATCGAACCTTTTTCTAGAAGTTTTTCAATTTGACATTGAATTTGATTAAATTCACTAGTAGACCAGGCAGGATTGGAAGGAATTTGTTTTTGAGTAATATTGTTCGAAACAGGGATTTTATATCCTTGAATCCAATCCAAAACTGTTTTGCCAGAAGTCAACAATCTGCAATTGTCAGTAAAAAGAGCAAGTCTCCCGGCTGGCTTATTTACATCCTTCAATGGTTCCTCGATCTGTTGCTGCGGTGGCTGGAGTTGTTGGATCTCGATTTGATCGAATGATGACTTGCTCGGTCCTTGTAGCTCGATCCCTTTGGTGTGAACTGTCTCTTCAAGCCGCCTCCTGTCTTCTGTCTGGGATTTACAGGTGGCTGACGAGGCGGGCCCATCGAGTTTTTTGACGGCAGAGATGAGGTCTTGGAGGACTTCAAGGCATTGCTGGTTCGCTCCATAGTTTGGACAGTCTTCAAATGTCCTTCAAGTTCCGTTGCAAACAGAAATTCGCCAATTTCTGTTGTCTCCAAGGCACGTCTGGCAGTTGGGCTTACATTAAGTAAGATAAGAGATTTTCTCGTGAGACATGTCTCTTTGAAAGTCTAGGAGCAATCGACTCGTGTCACTCACTAATTTTTAGCACATCTAGCTTCTCAAAGTTATCCTCTGAGAATAGGAGTGAAGCAGCTTTTCCCAGAGCAGAAAGACAGGCCACTGCTTTATCTTGCTTGGCAACTAGACGATTATCTCGAATTAAAACAGAATCGACCAGCCCATCTTTGAACTCTGGACCCAGTTTAGGTGATTTAATTTTGAGACAATCGAAACTGGGTTCTATTATAATCTTATCAATTCCTCTATCACCACATAATGAACATTCCACTGTCATTGAATAACTTGGATTTTGATTAAAAATTATGGGACATAATTCTGCTATTGTCATTAATGCATTCAAAATCAGCAGATCAGACCAGAATCTCAATTCTTTTCGGAAAAATTGCTTAGTTCGAAAAATATTCATCTCAACTGCTGAATTTTGTTTGTATTGTTCATCAATATCATCATTTACGACAATGTATTTAATCAAATTGAATTCCTGAATATTTGAACGAAGGATATTATTGGAGAAATTGTAATTAATATTTGAATGATACTGTCAAATGCACATGTGTTCTGCAGACAAAATAATTGAAAATCGGACACAATTAGTCAAAAAGAAACTCATTCAATTTGAGAAAGTAAAATAAACCATTAATTATATAAAATAGAAGAGGAGAATGTGCAAAATAACGATTCGGAAGCATATTGCTAATTTATTAGCAAAAATAACTATACTATATGCAATAAAAAAGTAATTTCTCACTTGTTTCCTTGTTGGAATTCGTATAAAATGCAGTGCCGAATGTGCTGTTTATCAGTTGCCATCGTAAACTCTGCTATTCTGAAAGGTTATGTAACTTACATAAACTTGTCGTCCCGTGTTCTGAAACCTTTTGCCCGATCCTTTCAAAACCAGAAAAGACCGCTAATATATTTCTATTTTAAATATAATTTTAAGCTCCAAGAAAAAATCTGTAAAAATTAAGTCACACACCGAATATATTTTTCTTTGGTCTACACATACCAATTGATTCAACTCAGTAGAAGGTATAGATTTGAAATAATTCTTGTTCGGTCTCACCCCTCATGGAAAAAATAAATATCTGGATAATTATATTTATTATATTTAAAATATATATAGGATATATCTCAGATATATCGCATATATGTTCATACTTATATCTAGCGTATATCTCGCATATTGCACATTTTACCGGGGACATAAGTGATATATATTAGATGTTCAAATATACATGTTTTCCATGAGAGCATGGACGGTCAACGGAATTATTGGTAAGCTAGTCAACAGAATTGAAAGTACTATCCTGCATTCGCACCATTATAGTGCTCTATCATTCATTCTTGCATCCCTCGCATAAAGCTATTGATACTGGTTCCTAAAATAGAATTCGGAATAGAAACATTGTCCATGTAACGCGGAGAAAACTGTACATCTTTTGGTGCAAAACAAAATATTTTATTTATTCTCTCGACCGATTACATTGTGCATCTATGGGCATTATTGATGAATCCCAGATATGGGTAAATCTTAAGGAAAAGCCCATTACCGCGATACGGAGTTTCTGACACGATTGGAATCGCGATACTGTTACAAACAAGTAGATTGCCACCGTCCCCCTAGAAAGAAAATTAACATAGATTGGTGAACAATATTTTCATTTAGAATTGATCTGCACAGAGAGAAAAGTTGGATAAAAACTACCTAGAAAATCGTGATCAATTACTATACGAATGCTAATCGTGGAGAGAAGTGTATCAATAATTCAGTGAAACAATAATTCCTAGGGGATATTGCTTCCGACTGGAAACATTGGTATCGTTCAAATTTAAGTTTTGGATTTTTCATGTTATATCGACCCATTATGACCTAAAAAGTCTAAAAATGCAATTTTTAAACTGTGTCCATATGTATGTGTGCACGTACGTGCGTATGTAAACAAATTTTTTTTCTATTATTCGATAATAAAATGGAATAATGAGATGGAATGAAATCTTTTTTTCCCTCAATTATAGCTATTGTTGTGCCCTATTTATCACCATTAATTAAAATTAAATTCATTTCTGAATTTTTAAAATTCTTCAATTCTTTTCAAAATTGTTTTTTTACGATTTAATATGTTTATTTTTTAATATTTTAGTTATAACTAAAAAAAATTCCTGGAATCATTGAATGATTACGTAAAAAATTTGATTGGATGTCCTTCTGACCAAGTTCGAAGGTGAAGACGATAGCAATACTCGTTATTTTGATTTATTTGAAAATTTGCGAAAATTGTGGATTTTTTGAAAATCAGAATCCTGAGGATACTTCGGATATCACGCTTCAAATGAATTCAATCATAGCTTAAAATGTTTTTTCAATGACACTAAGTTGAGGTAAAAAAATAATTACGATAGCTATATTGGTTGATTTCATTTTTGTGATAGTTGTTGAATATCTGAAGGTCATGGAGGCGGATGGAAGTGAATTTTTACCAAACAGGTTAGGTAAAAATCATTCTCCGGTGCAGAAAAATTATACGAAAAATTGAAGCAATTATTCACGTTCACTGGGATAATTTTTGATGGGATGCAGGATAAATTTTAAAGTTTCAGTACAAATCACCCACACGTTCAGTAAATTTTCCCGGGCTAATGAAGTAAAATTCACTATAAATATCGCACTTTTTCTCCTAATTAATTCGAAAAAGTACTGAAAAACGAGTTTGTTCCACGACGTCTTAATTTGTTTGGTAATTTTTCTTCAACTTTTTTCTCCGTGTGAAAATAATTGGTTTCACCTTTACTACACCAGACTCTAGAAATGCATCATATCCGCATATTTGATTCTCTCCCAGATTAATTCCCTGCCTTATACACGTTTTCGGTGTCTTTACGGTCAAAGTAGTCCATTTCAGGAATCCCGGTCCACGCGGAACTCCTGCGGTTATGCTACCCCACCCCGCCACTTGACAACGGGCAGTACAGTCCACAAAAGATGTAAATGGCACGGCAACCGGTGCGATTTTAGTACTCTCGACGAAAGGATCCCGCAGCTGGAGTTACGAGAAATATCATAGTTTTTTTCTTTTCGTAAAAGCTGATGAAGAGAACGGGAAATACTTACTTTCAAAACAGCAATGTCATTTCGCGGAAAATTGTAATTGGGATGAATAATGATTTTATTCACTGCTGATATATCTGCATCGGTAATTATATTCACTTTTATTTGACCAGTCAGTGCTATTAGGGTGTCTTCTGTTTCATTGTCCCCACAGTGTGCGGCAGTAAGAACATGTTTCAGATCGATTCAACCTCCGCCGCAACAGATCCTATTGTTGCACCATAGGAGTACATTATATTTGAACTGTCCTTCATAAGCTGCTCTTCCACCGATTATACTATTGACGTCTAGAGATAAACCGTGAGGATTGGTTGATTTGGCATTCTTTGAAAACCAGCCGCACTGATAGAAGGATTTAGTTGCTTTTAATGAGGTTTTTTAAACTATTATCACGATTCGTTAACTACTCGCTTCGTTATTAATCAATCGTGTTAATAGTTAAGAAGCAACAGCAACTAAATCATCCCACCATTTCTATCAGTGCATGGGTGAATGTATTTACTTTTATGCTTGTAAAAATATTATTAATACAATGATTTTGAAAAAAATCGCCATGATTGAATAGTTTTGGTGGTAGAAATTATTCTGTATTCACCAGATTTCACTTTCGAAATGGAATGAGAATTGAATGATTTTTGTAGTTGTGGGGTTTTTTCTTATATAGTTCTCCGTGGTGGAGTTTTTATTACCGCAACAACTGTTCACAACAAAATATTATCATGCTAAAATCACCTGTGAACACAAGCGTGATTCAATAATAACAAGTGTAAGCGGGACTCATTTATACACAAGTGTGACTCAATAATAGAACCTTGTCAAAATTTCTGATGTTTATTCCAACTTTTACGTTTATTATGGAACGCCAAATTAACTACCAGATTAGAAAAACGCAAATTGACCAAAATGAGCAACTGGTCGAAAGGCGAAGAAATAAAAACTGCAGTAGTAGAAACACTCGACATGAAACTCGTGGACCTCATTGCTAAATTCTCTGAGTGGGAAACTGAGCAGGCACAACTCTTACTGCTGGACATAGATCACGAAGAAGAACACATCAATGAAGGCGAAAATATAATGGATAGTTACTCCAAGATTGCTAGTGAGCTGAAAAACATGATCAATCAGAGATCAGTTCAGTCTACATCGACAGTTCGTTCGTATAGTTCTCAAAATTCGGATGAACGAATCCAATCAACTTCTGCTAAATTACCTGAAATCACACTGTCTACATTCGATGGCAGTTTCGAGAAGTATCGAAGTTTTCACGACGAATTCAGGGCTGTCATCCACGACAACCATAGGCTGCAGAAGGTGACTAAATTTCAATATTTTAAATCTTGTCTCACTGGAGAAGCTCAAGATCTTATCGAAGATTTAGACATCACTGAAGAAAATTACCACATCGCATGGAAGTTAGTGGAACAAAATTACAACAATCCTCGTCTCATTCTTCGACGCCATTGCACAATCCTACTGGATCTCTATAAAAATGAGAATCCTCCACGTTTACTCCTCAAAATTGTCAATGCCGTCCGTTCACAATTACGGCCATTGGACTCTCTTGCAAGCAAAGAGGAACAGTATGATGCGCTCCTTATCACCATCATCCTACGTCTCTTGAGTGATGAAGTGGTCTACGAATGGGAAAAAGACCTAGTTGAGAACAAAATGCCAGATGTGAACGATCTCCTTGAATTTCTGCAACGTCGTGGCTTGTGTGTAAAGTCAACTGAGTCTGCAAGAAAGGTGAGAGTGAAAGAGACCACGGAAAGGTCTGATTCAAAGGGTAAATCCAAGAAGAAAAAGACTCAATCATCCTATACCCCTTCAACAAATTCAACTACACAGGTGTTCCATGCTGACGTTCAGACGAAGTGCCCTGTTTTCCAGAGTGATCATAAAATCTATCAGTGTCCCAAGTTTCAAGAGATGGACCAACAACAAAGACTCAAATTTCTTTACAACAATAACCGTTGTATCAATTGCTTGGCCAAGGGACATGGTGTCAGTGCTTGTGAATCCGGAAAATGCTCAGTCTGTGAAAGGAAACATCACACACTATTACATCGGTATGCCGAAGGTGCAACTTCAAAATCAGCTGATTCCAGTGTAACCAATGTAACCCAGATGCCATCTAATTGACAATCAGCAAGGGCATCTTCCGAACCGACACATCAACGTATCTCTCTCAACACAGATATTCCAGGTGATGATATTCTTCCTACTGCTCTTGTTCATGTACTGGATAACTCTCAACAGCTAGTACAGTGCCGGATGCTGTTGGACACCGGCTCTTCTACGAATTTTATCACCACGGAGTTAGCCGAAAAACTTCAACTACCAAGGGTTGTGTGTGCCGTATCGGTTGGTGCCCTCAACGATCTCTCAACAATCGCAAACTATTGTGTCACTGCGACCATTCGCTCTCGTTTCAACGATTTTGAAAGAACCCTCGATTTCTTGGCAATACCGGCAATCTCTTCCTTGACTCCTGCTCAACAGATTGACAGAAAATTCCTTCAGCTACCTCATAGCATTCGTCATTGTCTTGCCGATCCCGAGTTCCACAAACCCTCATCAGTTTAACTGTTGCTGAGCTCTGGACACTTCGTCTCCACGTTAACCGTTGTCAGCGCAGAATCTCTGAGACGGCCAATCTCATCGCTCAGAACACTGTATTAGGATGGACTATTTGTGGAAGTATTCATGATCATGGAATATCCCGAACCCATTGTCATACGACCAACATCATCGACGAATGCAAAAGGTTTTGGGAATATGGTACATGGTAGCATTGCCGTTTAATGAGCTGTCATCGAAGAATATAAACACCTCGGACACATGAAGAAGGTGGAACATGAGGTAGAAGAAGGTTTCTATCTCCCACATCATGCTGTCATCAAGCTAACCAGCATGACTACCAAGGTCCGTGTTGTCTTCGATGGTTCAGCTAAGTCCAGCAGCAAATGCAGCCTCAACGACGCTCTGATGGTTGGCCCAACCATCCAAGATGACATCTTCTCGCTGATCCTACGGTTCAGACTCCCCAAGTTCGTGTTCACCGGCGATATCGAGAAAATGTATAGACAAGTTCTCGTAAGACCCGAAGACAGGAAGTTCCAACGGATTATTTAGAGGGACCTGCCTACAGACAAGGACATCAATGTGTACGAACTCCAGACTGTCACATTTGGTCTTGCTCCAGCTCCATACCTAGCAACTAGATGTCTTCATCAACTTGCTGATGATGAGCATGACGACTTCCCCCTTGGCTCGAAGTTATTGAAACAAGATTTGTATGTTGATGATGTGCTCACCGGTGCTGATTCACTCGAAGAAACAATCAAACTACGAGAGTAGTTTGACAGATCTTCTCCATCGCGGTGGTTTCAATCTTCGCCAATGTGCATCAAACTCTCCAATGGTGCTCCAAGGGTTTCCTGATTGTGCTGTCAACCTCAAGTTACTCGGGGGAGATGATCCCAAGCTGATGACGTTGGGTGTTCATTGGGACTCCCAACAAGATTGTATTGTTTACACCGTCAATCCCATCGCCACGGAGAATGTCATCACTATGGGAACAATTGCCTCTGATGTTGCTCGTATCTTTGATCCTCTTGGACTACTCAATCCCATCATCACTCACGCGAAGATCATTCAGCAGGAGCTATGGAGATTGAAACTAGATTGGGACGACTCTGTTCCTCAAGAAGTTTCTACAAAATGGAACGACTTTGCCTCCCAACTCCCTCTCCTCAATGATCTACATTTTCAACGTCGTATCATCATTCCCAACCCTGAATCCATTGAACTCCACGGATTCTCAGATGCCAGTGAAAAGGCTTATGGAGCCTGTATCTATCTTCGTACAGTTGAATCATCAGGAAAGAGTAGTGTTCATCTCTGGTATGCAAAGTCTCGTATCACTCCATTGAAGAGTTCGCAAACAATTCCACGCCTCGAACTTTGTGCTGCTCAACTATTGACCGACCTCTACATGACTGTGAAGAAAGCAACAGATTTCAAGCCTCATAAAGAATTCTTTTGGACAGATTCCATGATCACTCTCCAATGGATCCACAAATCTCCGCACACCGTAGAAACTTTTATCGCTAATAGAGTGGCAAAGATTCAGCAACGAACAGATGCACAAAACTGGAGAGATGTTCGTACCTATGATAATCCAGCCGACGCCATATCTAGAGGAGAACTTCCAACGAACTTCCTGCAGAACTCATTGTGGAAACACGGACCTGTGTCGCTCACCGGGGGAGAAGACACCTGGCCATTCACCCCTATTCAAACATCAAACGAAATGCTTGGTACTAAAGGGCTAGTATGCCTAAACGCTTCAAAGGACCCGAATTCAGCAAGTTCGATATCTCCAAGATCTCCAACATCTCCAAGATCTTCAACATCTCCAAGACCTTCAGCATCTCCAAGATCTTCAGCATGTCCAAGGTCTCCTATCCCCGACAATACTCTTTTTTCAAAATTTTCATCTCACGCATTTACGTAGATTTGTTGCCTTGGCTCTCCGATGGCCATTGATCTACAAGGAGCGACGAGCAACTACACCTCCAAATCATGCTAAATTGAAGTCCACTCATCACTACCTCACTGTCCGTGAGTTAGAAGTAGCNTTCAGGACCAGGAAGGTGGCCCCAGGTGAGCTGGGGGTGATAATATTTATATATGTTATTAATATATATTACTTAGCACATATTCTTATAGAATGTATATATTTGATATATACCATTTTTATGATAAAAAAACAGTNATTAATTATATATAGGTAATCCGATGGTTAATTGTGTTGTTATTCATTAGTTTAATAAAATAATTACTAGTATACTGGGGGGTAATACAGGCCTATAGGGAAGATACCGCGAGATGGCGGTAGTATCGACTTCTTGACTAGTTTGGCCTGGTACACGGGCGCGGCGGGGAAAATAGAATTTCAAAAAGTGGGGTGGTGGTCAAATATCGCGCCAGATATTGATGCATGGGGTGGAGACCCCACGTATGGTTGAGGGGTGAGAATATTATTATATTTTATCATCATATATGTTCCAGTATCTAATGATATATTGATGATATACTGAGATCTACATTATATATACATATATCTCTACATAAAAAATGTGGACNAAACGAAACAAAACGGTAACGTTACTGCCAGGAACGATAAAAAAAAAAACTGCCCGGAACGAAACCTTGGAACGAAAGTCGAATGACGTCATCACTTAAGAAAAACTTTTCGTGTAAAAATCGAGTGAGAGTTCCCATTCTAGATTTTTTTTTATTCTAAAAATGTATCCATGTTAGTTAATTACGTACCATAAACCATAAAATATGGCAATTTCTCGTTGCCGAAAACTGAATTTTATGGCATAAAATTATCTGTGGGGATAATTTTATGAAAATTTTGCGGATGCTGGACAGTGATATATTATTTATTCCAAGCAGTCATTCTTTATTATTATTTGTGAAAATTCTCAAAAGTATGTTCTTTATATTTATAATTCAAATCAAACTACAATTTCAATTCTCCAAAAAAATACATGAACGAATCTAACGGTTCTGTTGATGCAAAATTGCTCTAAAATTCCTAAAAGCCTTTTTCTATTTTTAAACTTTTCATCGATTTTTCATCATGGAGNATGCTGATGAAACTCGCCAGAAGAAACTGTGGAGAAATTCTTAAGAAGGAGTTTTGGAAAAATTATTTAGAAGAAATTTTGAAGATATTCTCTAAACGAAATTATGGAGAATTTCTCGACAACAAATTCTTGAAGCATGCTAAAATAATCCTGGAGAAATTCTTGAGAAGAAATTCTGGAGAAATCATCCAAAAGAAATTCTGGAGGAATTATTGGGAAGAAATTCCGAAGGAAATTCGGAGAATTTATCAAAAAGAAATCCAGAGAAATTATCAAAAAGTAATTGCAGAGGAATTTTTGCGAATTTGCCAGAAGAAATTTGGATGAAACTCGCAAGAAGAAATTGGGGAGAAATTGTTAAGAAGTAATTTTAAAAAAATTATTTAAAAGAAAATCTGAATATATTTTCTAAACGACATTATGGAAAATTTCTCGACAGCAAATTCTTCAGGTATGCTCAAGGACTCCTGGCGATACTCTTCAGAATGAATTCTGGAGAAATTCTCCAAAAGAAATTGCGGAGAAATTCTTGAGAAATTATTTAAAAAAAATTCCTGAGGAATTTTTTAGAATTTGTAAGAAGAAATGTGAGAAATTTCAAATTATTTATATTATATATACATATATCGCTCTCTATAAATGCAAAAATTAAGAGGGGTGGATTAAATTATTTAAATTATATATACATAGTTCGCTCTCTATAAATAGAAAAATAGGGGGTGGCCACATATGGGGTGGGGGTGATAATATTTATATATATCTATAATATATATTTTTCAGTACATATTTTTATATCATGTATATATTTCACATATATCCCTTTCTATGAATAGAAAAAGAAAGCGAGGGGGAAATTCAACAGATCCCAAAATTCAGGTGACTTTCAGGACCAGGAAGGTGGCCCCAGGTGAGCTGGGGGTGATAATATTTATATATGTTATTAATATATATTACTTAGCACATATTCTTATAGAATGTATATATTTGATATATACCATTTTTATGATAAAAAAAACAGGGGAGGGGTGGGATCCAAAGGACGGCAAGATTCACGCGGCGTTAGGGGCTGATAATATTTATATATGTTTTTAATATATATATTTATTATATATTTCTAGATCATGTATATATTTGATATATACCTCGGCCCTGGCGGCATATCCTGATCATCGGAGTGGGGGGGTGGGGGGTGACGATATATAAATAATCGTATATCTATCAGGGACTTGGAACGCGTTACCGTTTCGTTCCCGTTCCTCAGCTAGGAAACGAAACAAAACGGTAACGTTACTGCCAGGAACGAAAAAAAAAAAACTGCCAGGAACGAAACCTTGGAACGAAAGTCGAATGACGTCATCACTTAAGAAAAACTTTTCGTGTAAAAATCGAGTGAGAGTTCCCATTCTAGATTTTTTTTTATTCTAAAAATGTATCCATGTTAGTTAATTACGTACCATAAACCATAAAATATGGCAATTT